AGAGCGACGCCGTAGACGCTGAAGTACTGAAGGACCTCGAACCTCATGAAGCAGATGACGGACAAACCTGGACCATCACAGGCGTGGAAGATCTGACACACACACAGAGACACACACACAGACACACACACACACACACACACACACAGAGAGACATACACACAGAGACATACACACACACACAGAGACACACACACACACACACACAGAGACACACACACACACACACACACACACACACACAGAGAGACACATACACACACACACACACACACACACACACACACAGAGACACACACACACACAGACACACACACACACACACAGACACACACACACAGAGACACACACACACACACACAGACACACACACACACACAGAGACACACACACACACACAGAGACACACACACACACAGAGACACACACACACAGAGAGACACACACACAGAGAGACACACACACAGAGAGACACACACACAGAGAGACACACACACACACACACAGAGAGACACACACACAGAGAGACACACACACACAGAGAGACACACACACACACAGAGAGAGACACACACACACACACACACACACACAGAGACACACACACACACACACACACACACAGAGACACACACACACACACACACACACACACACACACACACACACACACACACACACACACACACACACACAGAGACACACACACAGAGACACACACACACACACACACACACACACACACAGAGACACACACACACACACACAGACACACACAGAGACACACACACACACACACACACACACACACAGAGACACACAGACACACACACACAGACACACACAGAGACACACACACACACACACACACACACATATATATACATCAGTATTCAGTGTCAGGAGTAACAGATTACATGAACTGGAGTAATCAGAGTACAAATGATGAGTAACTGTATTCAGTTACAGTTACTGTTTCAGTGAGTGGTAATTGGATTACAGTTACTTTGTTGAAATAAATGGATTACACAGAGGGATTTTACTGTTTTCACATTTTGGGCTAAATCCTTTTTTTTTTTTCTTTTTTTTTTTTTCGGTAATTCCACTCATTCCCGGAAACTAAACCAGGTCTAAACTAGAGCTAAACCAGGACTAAACCAGGACTAAACCAGGTTTAAAACCAAGTCTAAAACCAGGTCTAAAACCAGGTCTAAACCAGGACTAAAACTGGACTAAAACTGGACTAAAACAGGACTAAACCAGGACTAAATCCTGCTGCTTGGACGTGTTTCCTCGTTTTCTATCAATAATATTTTTTATACAGTTAAATAAAGTCTTTTTATTTTCTTTTATCAGACAAAACTTCTTATGTGAAGATTTCCTCGTCTTTGTTTCTCTACAACAAATCAAGTAATCCAAAGTAATCAGATTACATTACTCACTTTAAGTAATTTAATGGATTATGTTACAAACTACATTTTGGGGTGTGTAATCTGTAATCTGTAGGGGATTACATTTGAAAAGTAAACTTCCCCACACTGTCAGTATTACACACACACATTGGCAAACACTGTCCGAAAAAGTTCTTAACATCGTCTGAAAACTCCCAAAAAAACTATTCAAAATGTGTTTAAACAGGACATTTTCAGGAGGATGTGATCAAGAAGCGCGTTTATGGTCCTGTTTAGGAGTTTGATTTTCAACAAAACGCACAAGTGAAGTTGTTTTAGATGAATATTGTGATTTTAAATGTTCCAGTGATTCTATTATCAGGGACATACTGTATATGGAAACCACACAAGCACAAAATGTGACCTTTCAAAATGATTTCTTACTTGGGATCGGATAGGAACAAAAAATGAAAATGATCTGCTCAAGTTTCATTCAGACTTGGCCCTGTCATGCGGCAGGTGCGGACAGGAGCGCAGAGTGTGGACTTTACGATGCGCTCTTCATTGTGTCGTGTATTTCGTAGATCTGATGACTGGAAAGTATCCAGTTGTGTTTTTTCTGACATCCTGATCGTGATTAAGTCTGTGGTTTCTGTTCATATTTTAAACACGACCAGATGATTCGGCAAAAAGACTGAACTGACAAACGAACGTAAGAATCGCATTTCAGAACATGTGTTTGTCCAGATCTAAACTACAGGGTTAACAGTGTTTATGCAGAATAAGAGCGGAGATTTTGTTGTTTGCGGAGGAAATTATAGCAGGTGAGAAACTGCAGCTTTTGAGATTTGCTAATCCTTCCGTTCAAATTGTGATTTTTGATTCAGTTCCGGTTAATCTCGCGGCTCTAAAACAGACAGACCGAGGCTTCAGTCCTGCTCTGCTCTGGTCTGGTCCCGTGTTCCGTCTCTTACCGTGGTGAAGAACATGGTGAAGAAGTAGACCATGGCCTCCAGGTGGAAGCCGCGTTTGGCTGCGACGCTGGCCGTGGGCAGGAACACCAGGCTGCTCACCGTGGGCAGCAGCAGTTTGGCAATGAACGCGCCCATCCCCAACCCATACACTCCAAGATGAAGAATAAATAAAAAATAATGACGAATAAATATACGAGCCTCTGCACTGAAGCTCTGCACCGGCCCGAGCCAGCTGTCCCAGTGTCCCTCTAAAGTTTAAATGTCCCAGAGCTCCGTGGTCAGCTGCTCTTCGGGGAGGGACCGGGACCAGCCCCGTGCATGAATCCACCACATGCTCATCTGTGGAGCTGCGAGGAGCAACATTCTGAAGACCGGGACCCAAAAATAACTCTGATGTGTCAAGATGGAGACGTTTGGACATGAACAGAGGGGGATCTTCCATGAGTTTGAGATGATGTCACAACGTTCTACAGGTTCATAATATTTAACACAGATCAGGGAGGCGAAAATAAATAGACTCAAAAAGTAGATTTAAGTGAATGATTCTAGTCACCGACAGAAATTTTGGGTCAAATATTTGTGAAAGTATATTTACAGATTTCATGACAAATTACGAGGTCATTTATAGGTGAGTTTCATTGTTGACAAAAGCGTTTCATGCTGGGAATTATTTTGGTCGGCGGCAAGAAACACTAATTCAGCATGACGGACAGAGCGAGAAAACACGTAAAGGGTATTGATCCTGGTTATTTCTCCACTCTAACGGCAGACGACCCAAGACCATTTGACCAGAGATGGACGACAAATCTCCCTTTTCAACCCCGACAGAGTCTGGACCAAACCAAACTTCTGGTCAGAATCTGGTGAAACTCCTGGGCCATTCACAGCAGAAAAGATGAAAACCTCCAAGAGTCTGGATGTGTTGTTGAACTTGTTGAGTCCACGGTTTGTTAGGATCTTCTACGTTTGCTCTGCGGATGTTTGAAAGTCGTTTAATTCACCGTTAGTGGTTCTTTTCACTCAGAATACGAAAAAGACATTTTCCTTCTTCTGTGCTTCTATTTGTGCGTCTGATAATGCAGCAGGAATTTACCATTATTGGGGATAAATACACAGGTTACACACTGTGTTTGACGCTACCGTGTTTCTTGCCTCCGACCAAAATATTTCCCAGCAGCAACGTGGACTTTTAATAACAATGACGTCAGCTGAAACTCAACTATAGAGCTTTTTACAACAGCAGGATGTGTCCCGCTGTAGGTTCATGTTTTTCTGTGTAAATGTGCGTCGTTTTCTCCAGCAGCTTCATAAATCTGCTCCATCACTAAATCTTCAACCAACAAACTCCACAAAGGAGAAACATTCTTCATGAACATTTTATCCACAAATATCAAGAGAAGAAAGAACAAAACTTAAAGGAAACGACGACCATCAGTCTGAGTGAGTGAACAAGTTCCTTCTGTTTTATTCATGATCGTAACGTTCAGACTCTTGGCTCGTCCGGGAGTTTAACATCATCACATTTTAGAATCTGAAAACCACCAATAAACAGGAGAACTAGACCAGAGCTTCTCAAACTGTTTACATGCCCAGTGGTTCAGGTGCAGCCTGGGTACAAACCAGACCAAACTACATCCACATCCCCAGATTTATTTACTGCTTGAACCAAATACCAGGAAAATTACATGAAACACTGAAGGGATATTTGCATTAACAAGGTTTGTAATAATTATTTTTCTTTTTTTTCATAATTTGCCTTGAGAAACCCGTATGAGAGACGAAGGCCCAGAGGAAAGAAACAAGAAGATTTTCACTGAAGTTGTGGCATTTGGTCATAACCTAATTTAATCTCCTCGTTTGGATCTTGTTTACGTGTGGGTTCGCTGTCGGCTCAGATCTGCACTGGAGAAAAGGCCCCGTGACGTGAGTGAGGGGCCAGTTGTCTTCAGCTGCTGCTGCATCTGCCGCTCTCACAAAGGCAGCTCTGAGCTTTCACTGCACCCTCACATTCTCCGAGAGTCTCTGACCCAGACCTGAGCCTCTCCACGTCCTCTCTGTACAGCAGGGGTCTCCAACCTTTTTCCTCCAGTGAGATACTTTTACTTTTACTTTTACTTTTAACAAAAATGCCAGAGAGCTTCCTATTATATCAGTCGCAAAGAAACTGAGTATATAAGAGCATCAACAAGCCTTAGATGCGGAACAGTTAGATGCCTATAAAACATAAACTATTATCCATTGATCAGTGGGTCCAGTCAAACAGAAGTAAACATCAAGGCCAAAAGTTCAAGTGAATTCATCTGATATAAAACAGTATTGAACAGATACATATGTACTCGAGTTTATCAAACTGTTGACCTTTTTTCTGTTCCATTTTTGGTTCTAAAGTTCCATCCGTTTTAAACAGACCATGAATGAAACATGGAACAAAAATTATTTCCCAAATTTCAAAGACCCAAAAATCATGTAAATAAATGTTTGTATTTCATCATATCTTGTGTTATTCCATCTTTGAACTGTTGATGAAGGGACAGGATTTAAAAAAAAAAAAAAAGTATTTAAAATGATAAAAATGTTCTTGGAAGGACTGACATATTTTATAGAAATAGTTTCTTTCATTTTGAAGTAATATTAAAGTTTTCAGAAGAAAAAAGTGACAAATGATGTAAAATCCTGCACCTTCTACTTGTTTGTACAATTTTCCCTCCGTTACTTTTCCCTCCGTTACCATGAACTTTCTTAATAAAAAATCTCATGAGTCAAAAAGTCAGAGGTTTTTCAACCTAATCTTGTACCATATGGTAGAAAACTATATGAAGCAAATATTCAAACCAGTTTGTTAAGGATATGGAAGTGAGAACCAAGAGTTATCACTGTTTGGATTTATTGACCAAAAAGTGCTGCATATTTCATTCCCTCCGTTACCGACATGAGTTTTTTAATTTTTGTCTTGAACTTGAAAGAATCTCACAGGTTTAACTTGACCCTGTTGGAGTGTAACTCTTTCCTACATTCTGACTGAACTGAACAGCTGAGTCACTGCGAACACGCCAAACAAAGTCCGACTGACCCATCGAACTGTTGTGTTTCCTTCAAAGTCCGGTGTGGTTTATTTGTGAAAAAAGTTCAAAAATAGACCATTTACTGACAGTCCGCCTTATAATCCAGAGTGACTAATAGCCCGGAAGATATGGTCTATAAGAGCGTCGACAAGCCTTAGATGCGGAACAGTTAGATGTTTGTAAAACATAAACCGTTATCCATTTATCCGTGCACAAAGTTAGGTATGAAAATGATGCGTTTACAATGGTAATTAATCAGATTTTATTTATTGAGCACAATACATGGAATTCAGAACAGACCTACTGCCACATTTGGCTGAAGTTTGTCTAACAAAAGTGACAAATGCATCTGTGTTTGTCACGATGTGCGTTTGGTTTGGTAAACGTGCAGAGGCTGGTAAATATCACTGCAAAACCACAAAAGAATGAAACTCCAGTTTGGAACTTTAAAAAACAGGTTTAAAAATCTTCCTTCACTTTTTTCACAGTTTTGTGTAAAGTGCCAGAGGAAGTTCTCTTAAAGAAGAGGTTCTCAAACTGTGGGGGAGGGTCCAGAAAAGGGCCACAGAGTGTTTCAGTGCAGTTTGTTTGACTTTGTATCAGGTCGATCATTTTGACTTGGTCATTTTGTAAGAAGCTCACATGATGAAAAAGTGTGAAACCTCTGGTTTAGACGTACAGTGAAATGCAAGGAGGATTCTGTCCGTCCTCTGTTGCTCTGTCTGTGATCTGGTCTCTGCAAAACAAATAAATGCTTCTCTCACTTTGTTTATCGTGACTCTTTTCCCAGCAGAAATGGGATCGAGAAACTGCTGTCGGCACTTTCACGTTTGTTACTGTATTTCGTCCGTTTTGGTCAATAGGCTCTATTCGCTCTTCTGTCACAAACCAGAAAGACGTCTAGAAACACGTGGTGAAAGTTCCGGTGTAGTTCCCGACGCTGTGATCAAACCCAGTGAAGTAAATGAAGCCCGCAGACGTAGGTGCCGTCTGGAATCATCTCGTCTCTTCTAATCGCACAAACCCAGTGCGCTCGGAGTTGTGCGTCTGTGGGGAAATGATGAAAACTGAGGTGTGGTTGGAATTGTTGATGAGCCGAACATAACAAGACGCCACAACGACACGGAGATGAAGAAAACTGGTACATTTTCTCATTTTTCCTTTGTTTTTGTCAGATGTACGACCGCAAACAGAACAGTGTTTCCAAACGACTTCCTGGTTTGTGACGTAAGTGTGAATAGACAATATTCGCCCTCTGGTGGTGGTTTAACAGAACACAGCCTTGGCATTAGAAACATTTGGAAATATAAATGCAGTGACGGTTTCTGCACTTGAAACGCACAGATCTGTTTACGTACAAAATGAGCCTGAAGCCTGTCACGATATCGACTAGAACCAGAGTTTTTGGGGTCAGTGTTTATCGTGAGCGCTTTTTTATGTACTTGACGAGAACTTTTGTTACTTTTATGCAGTGTTGGGAAGTTTACTTTTAAAATGTAATCTCCTACAGATTATAGATTACACACACCAAAATGTAGTTTGTAACGAAATTAAATTACTTAACCTGTTACCACCCGCCTCATTTTGGTGTGTGCACAATGGTAAGACATACCCAAATGCCATAGCTTATTAAAAGAAAACCTCAGAACCCACATGCTTGTGTGAGGAACCATTTTAAAGCTTAGACCTTCTAGTTTCTGTAGATATGTACATGAAGACTGTGAGTGCTGCCTAACCTACAGTACAGTCAATTAAAATTGAAATTTTTTTTTATTTTTTTGCTTCGAAAAAAAAAATAGAAAAAAATAAAGGCCTTAGCTTGGTCATACTTCATGCTAGGCATTTGTGACTCACTACACTCATTGTTCAAGTTGTTGGCAACAACTGTGTAGAATTTCAGATCTCTAGGACAAAGGGTTTTGATGCTGTGAGCCTTTGTGTAAACAAAATGACAATTCGGCACAAGATTGCCAAATTTGTGCCAAAATAATAATAATAATAATAATAATAATAATAATCATTGTTATTATTATAATACTAATTCTTCTGAGCTTTAGGCATGTTTTCTCAAGA